TTTGCAAGTCAGTTTGCTGCCCCCTCTTCGAAGAGGAGCCTGTAAAGTGAGATTTTTTTTTTTCAAATATGCGATTAGGACTGTCTAGCCTACATGTTTCATTTCAGAAGCTAAAACTCAGCAGCTAGACCAAGACTTAAACCCTTTGTTTAACTAGAGACCAGAACAAAGGGGAGCTTGCTAGGGAGTTGCTTGGAAACTCTCACATTCCTTTATTGTAAGCTTGCTGAGAAGAAGAGGTTTGCAGAGAAAAAGGATCAAGAAACAGCAGGATCAAGGAACAGCAAACAGGTCAGCTACAGAGCAGTTTGCTAGGGAAGGTCTGCTCAGAAAGAGAGGCAGGAAGCAAGAGGCAGCAAGTTAAAAGACCCAGAGACATGGCTGGAGGACATCGCAATCCCAGAGCCACTGCCACTTCCAGCTCTTCCTCTGCTTTCATCTGTGAGGTATCTGTCCAGGCAGGACCACACACCATCGGGGCTTCCACCCAGGTCCTGGTTTGGCACTGTGCAGACTCTGGCTTGCAGGTTCCTTCCAATATCAGCCAGGTGGGGGGGGGTACCTGCAATGTGAGCAGTGCGTTCTGGTAGTGTCCCTCAGAGAGAAGGCAAAAGGAGGTAGCAAGGCTCTGAAACATCCTTCACCATGAGGACTTCATCAATTCCATGCTGGAGGAAACCTCTAGGACTGTGGAGGAAGGACTGCCACAGGCAGTACTGGAAAAGAAAGAGGGCATGGACTCCCAGGAAGGTTGAAACTGGAAGCTTGTAACTTCTGGCAGCAAGAAGTCATCATCCTCACCTGCTGTGGTCTGCCTAGAGAACAGATATGGAGTGCTAATGAAGGGGTGAGAAGCACATTTCATTCATGGAAGAGCCTAGGCCAGGAAGTCCCAAGGTGGGGAGGATTGAAACCATGGCCACAAACAGGAAGCAGTGGTGATGGTGGTGGTGGTTAGAGACTCCTTTCTCTGGGGGACAGAGGGATCCATCTGCCAGCCTGACCTGTTGTCCCAGGAGGTCGGCTGCTTGCCTGGAGCCAGGATCCAAGATGTTGTGGAAGGATTACCGAAACTCATCCAACCCTTGAACTACTACCCTATGCTGCTAATTCATGTGGGCACCAATGATACTGCCAGGGGTGACCTGACCAGATCAAGAGCAACTACAAGGCTCTGGGTGCAAGGGTGAAGGAGATGGGGGCAGAGGTGGTATTCTTCTTGATCCTTCCAATCAAAAGGGAAGGGCCCTGGCAAGAGCGGACACATCCTACAGATTAATGCATGGCTGCACAGATGGTGTCGCCAGCAGGGATATGGCTTCTTTGACTATGGGATGCTGTTCCAAGAAGAAAGATTGGTAGAAAGAGATGGGATCCACCTGGTGAAGAGAGGGCAAAGAGCACCTTTGCAAACAGGTTTGCTAACTTAGTGAGGAGGGCTTTAAACTAGGTTCACCAGGGGATGTAGACCAAAGCCCTAAGGTAAAATGGGGAAGCACAAGACCTGGAGGAAGCACAAGGAGGCGGCAACAGGGGAGGCCCTCCTTATTCCTCCTGAGAAAATAGGGCAATCAACTAGTTACCTCAGGTGTCTGTACATGAACGCATCTGTGAAACCTTGGGAAACAAGCAGAAATAATTGGAAGTCCTTGCACATTCACAGAACTATGACATGACTGGAACAGCAGAGACTAGTGGGATATCTCAGATGACTGGTGCACTGTCATGGGTGGATACAGGAAGGACAGGCAGGGGAGAAGAGGAGGAGGAGTTGTACTGTATGTAAAAGGAGAGGTATGATTGCTCCGAGCTCCAGTATGAAACTGGAGATAGGCTACTTGAAAGTCTCTGGAGTAAAGTTTGAGACGTGAGCAACAACGGGGGTGTCGTGGTGACTGTCTGCTCTAGACCGCTTGCGGAAGTTTCCCAATTATAGGCCCTGGTTCTCATGGGGGACTTCAATCACCCTAACATCTGCTGGGAGGGCAATCCAGCCACGTACAGGCAATCCAGGACGTTTCTGGAGAGTGTTGGGGACAACTTCCTGGTACAAATGTGTTGGGGAGACCAACTAGGGGCTGTTCTTCTTGACCTGCTGCTCACAAACAGGAAAGAACTGGTGGGGGATGTAGAAGTGGATGGCAACTTGGGCAGCAGTGACCATGAGACAATCAAGTTCAGGATCTTGACTAAAATAAGAAAGGAGAGCAGCAGAGTATGGACCCTGGACTTCAGAAAAGTAGACTTTGACCCCCCTTGGGGAAAGATGAGCAGGAAACCCTTGGGAGGCCAATCTAAGAGGGGAAAGGAGTCCAAGAAAGCTGGCTGCATTTTAAAGAAGCCTTACTGAGGGGACAGGAACAAACCATCCTGATGTGAAGGAAAAATAGCAAATATGGCAGGCAACCAGATTGGTTTAGCAGAGAACTGTTTGGTCAGCTTAAATACAAAAGGAAGCTTCCAGGAAGTGGAATCTTGGACAGATAACTAGGAAGAAGTATAAGAATATTGCTCAGGCATGCAAGGATGAAGTCAGAAAGGCCAATGTGCAAAAGTTACTAATGCAAACCTTAACTAAACTATGAGGTATTCAGCATAGAGACTGAATGCTTGGGTATCACCCAGAGCAAACCAACCCTGATCCTGAGTAGAGTTTTTGAGCACTAGCAAAAAACCAAAACAAAAACCATATAATATCATGTATTAGCTAACAGTTGGAATTTTTCCAACCATCATATTATAACCACTTATACTGCAAACAATTTAGCTCAAGGTGTATCGGCACAGATGCATTCTAAAAAGGGTTGTGTGAAGCTTTTTGTAAACTGCCGAACAGACTGGCTTCAAGTACAGGCAGTCCTCTACTTAAGATGTTTTGAGTTACAACAAACGGCACTTATGACATTTATAAATTGACACCGTTTCGACTTTCTGACATCAGTTTCGACTTTACGATGCTTGATCTGGGCCCTGGAGAACATCTGTCCAAATGTCCTTGGACACTTTCATTAAGAAAGCAGACAAGACTCCAGAAAAACCTGCAGCCAAGACTCCTGAGAAGACTCCAGCCAAGAACCCTTCAAAAAGTCCAACCAAGAGCCCTTCAAAAAGTCCAGCAAAGTTACCTCAAAGAAGTCCTTCCAAATCAATATGATTGCTATTTACAATATAATGTATCTGTATTACTCATCTATAATTGATTGAGTACAAAATTCTGGGTTATTTCTGGTGAAAATAAGGTATTGGGCATTGGTTCAGGAACCAATCCCTCATTTATAACATTGTTCCTATGGGAAAAAATCAGTTCCAAGCTACAACATTTCGACTTAAGACAATTGGTTCCTGAAAACCATGTGTCGGGGGACTGCCTGTAAAAGGTAAACTGGAGGGCTAGTCAGGTGGGAAAGATAATGCATGACAGTCAATACGTTACAGGTACAACAAAAAGCTAGTGCACAATACTATTAAAAAAGCTGTAAAAAAAGTTTGGGAAGTCTGAGGAATGGAAAAGTCAGTGTTCTAAGGAGAGAAGGGGAAAAGATTCTTATTTCAAAATTTGGTGACAAATTTTTGACATTTGCTGAAAAGAATCTTCTGTCTCCAAACCAGAAAGTTTGAACAATGTCTGTGAATATTGAAAGCAAGATCAAATTCTATGAGCTAACAGTTAAGAACAAATTAAATATGTTTCAAATGTAAAAAGAAAAGCAGATATAAGTAGGAGACAGTGAGCTTTGTATTATGTAGAGTTCTGAGGAAAAAGAGAGGGTGAGTTAAGCAGGTTACGTATAGAGATGAAGAAACACAAAAGCTTAACATGGACAGAAACAGAGGAGCTCTCTAAAAAGAAGAGAAGAAAAAAACATGACTTCTGTGGACACTGACTTGGGTAAGGGATGACAACTAATGGAAAATAGATCTCTCTTTATGTATGTTTCAGGGAAATAGCTTTAAATGTTAAATTTGGTATTTGATTATTTGGATTTGTTAATAAAGTTTAAAAAAATGCTAGGAGGTGTTTAAAATAAAGTTTAAAAAATGCTAGAAAGGAGGTGAATTGTTTCCATAAACATCATCAAGATTTATTTTAAAACAAAAAACCGCACCAGGAACATATGATTTATGAGTACATGTGTAGAGAAATGAAATTCTAGTGTCAATGTTATATGTACTGTCTGACAGAATTAAAATGAACCCTTTGAGAAGAATCTAAGACATAGCAAGGCAGAACTACAATAATTGTTCTTAACTGATGCAGGTCAGTCAACAAAGGATATCAATATGAAAAAGAAAAACTTATGATACCCATTGACTTTAAACCTAGTCATGACAACTAGAGAAGGAGCTTTCTATGATTTAAAAAAAGGCAGCCTAAGGTTAAACTTCCAAGTCAAAACCTTAGGGACCCACACTTTTGTGGATGAAAAATTGAGACTTTCTGTGGATGAAAAATGCTCTAGATACAAAATACTCAGGGAGTAGAATACAGAGTCATAAAAGCACTGCGAATGACTTATCTGGACTGGGCAAAGTAGCCAGGGTATGGACTAAACTGGTGAAGAAAACCCAGAGAACTGGTAAAAAATGATAGGTTGATGGGTCCTACCATTGCTGTACATTTTTCCTTTGTATTATTCTTTCAAGTGAACTTTTGAACAGAGTTAAATTAAGTTACTGACTATATAACATGAGCACTGCTCTGTTGAGTTCCCTCCTTTCCAAGTAAGTTTTGTAAACAGGCTTATGATCCTTCCTCCCACTTACTTTTTTTTAGTGTAAAATGGACCTCCCATTCAAGGAGTAATTTGAAATGAGTACTGCACTTAATATTGTATATGCAAACATACCGTACTTCCAGCCTACGAATACTGTATCTAAGAAGCTAGTCACAGACACTCCTTGCGATTGGTCTGTTATAATAAAACAATCCGCCCCCAGGCAAGGCTGGGTTCCAACAGGCAAAACCAGATTCCCCAACTGTAAAGTAATCAATTTGCTCTTTTACTGCAGTGCTAACAAGTAAGTTTCCTTCTTGGAGCACAACCCTCTGAGATGACCTGGCTCCCTCCGGTTGATTAAGGAGCATTAGGCACACAGAAAATGTTTAATGGAAAGCCACTCACAATCAATTATTTAAGCAAGCATTCAAAAAATACTTTTCAGATTATACTGAGTTTGCCCTCAGAAGTAGAATTTCTGCACTGGAGGACCTAAAGAAACTGCCACCATCAGAGGATTACAAGGTAAACTGCATGCTTTTATTTTGTATTAAAACTTGCATATAATACAGAAAACTGGCTGCATTAAAGTTTAGAATGGAAACAGCTATGTGTAAAGATACAAATAATGGATTTCTGCCCTGCTCAGAATTTGACAGTGTTACTAGCAAATATGTTCTCAGAGCTCTGTTGCTCATGCACATGAATGTTAATTTGCTAGACAAGTTTTATGCATAAAACTTGTTTCTTTTGGAAGTACATCAGAATTACCTTAAAGGAAAAACTTGCTTTTAATTTTCCAAGTCAATAAAACAGTCTGCTTACCAAGGTTCATATTTCAAAACTGTGGGAGGTGTGTGGCAAAACATACTTGAAATTATATACCTAAAGTGTGCTCTATTTGATTTATCAAATTAAAGTTTACAAAATGAAAGAACTTGGTTCCTCCTTGTGTTTTCATACTTGTTCCCCTCCTCCCAGGTATTGCATATTGATAACTGTATGGCTGCTTATATTAAAAGTGAAACCGCTGAAACATTTTTAGGTTGAACAGATCTTTATTACAGCTAGAGAACTATTGAACTTTATTTGAAGAGTCGTAGGAAAGGGAGGGTTTGTATAGCAGAGCCAGAATCTACAACCCAGTAATTATACTTCTCTTAAAATGCCAGGAGTGCACTCAAGTTAAAATCTGAAGCCCTTTAAAAATGCTAATTTTATCATACTTTTGGATTTGTCTTTTTCTAGAACATAAAGCTATTTAAGCCAGAGAAAACAATTCATAGGGCTAAAATTTTCAACAAGCCAAAAATTTCAAAGTTCAAAAGTTTATGAAGTGGATTGATCTAGACATAGAAAAAAGACATTTATGTTACACATTCATTTTCTCTTACTCTAACTTACACCCAAAAGTAAAGAACTGTTCCAAATGCTTTCTACTTTTCCAGCAAGTCGGCTGCATTTCTATTTTTTTTTTTTAAGTTTCCCTCTCAGTTTGCATGAAGATGTACAGTTTTAATTTGGTTCTTTTTGATTCTCATATATTATCAAAACGCAAATACCAAAAGGAGAGCACTGGGTCCTTAAAGAAAAATCCATCGAAAATGATAAAAAAGTATTTAAGAAACATTCTATTGGATCAGTTTGAAGAGCCTGTCATTATGGAACCTAAAAGGTTTGGGCCAAATTTAAAATGACAGGATAAATCTTTTTTTTTTTTTTTAAATGCATTAAAGGCTTTAGAAACAAACTATACAAAATTTTAATAGATGTGGCATACAAAACTCATGAACAGCAAAATAAATGTCCAGGAGGTCAAAATGACAGTACCAGTACTGTGAGCGTTAACAGAAGTAATTCAGAAGGAATGTGTTTCCATAAACAACATTAGTTTAATCTAGAGATTAGACCTGGGTCTCATACTAGTGTGACTAATTATTCTGTGGGGAGAATTCATGCATATGATGTGAGGAAAAACAAAAGAGATGGTGGTTGCAGTTGAGCTTAAATCTTACCTGCAAAAAAAAAAAAAAAAAAAAAAAAAAAGGGTCTTTTTTTTTTTTTTTTATGGTGTACAGGGAAAGCATGAATTTAATTAAAAAGTCATGCCTAGTCAACCAACTTCTTTTTAAAAAGGTCCTATGGACAACTACTAAAAAGAATGACAGACTGGTGGTACCAGAAAACTGAAGCCTGTGCAATCAAAGGCAAGAGAAGATTTTTCTTCTGTTTACATTTTGTCTTGTGCCTACCCATGAAACAACCTCCTGACCTACCTACTAGTTATGAAGATCCCCCCCACCCCCAATTTTATATCCATTCTCTTCCAGTTAAGGGCAGAACAAAATTTCATCCCTCTTCTATAGCACTTCAAGTAACCCCCCAAAAAATCACTGAAGACAATATTCCTGATTTCTAATACAGAAACAGGCACATACAAGAATTCACACATACCTTCAGGCTTTCCTAATGTACTGTAAAGCATTGAAAACAAACCTTTGATGCCCCCTCCTTCCTTGCCTCTTGCAAAGATAATAAGCAAAAAAATTACAAAAAGAAATGTACTGTATATGAAATGGATACTGATCTACAATACAGTCCCCTAAGTAACAGCCCCCGGTCAAATTAAGTTATAAAGACAAAAGTGACAATTGCATTCCTTCACTGCTCTTTTATGTCTACCAACAGACTGGCATTCACATCTCTCCTAATAACACTGGATTATTTGACATCCCCATTTAAACCGTGCCTTTGTTTTTAAAGCTCAACTTCCCACAGAGCATAATGGTAAGTTTCTGACTCTGAGGGTGGCCAAGTGTTGGAACAGGCTACCTTGGGAAGTTGAGGAATCCCCATCCTGAAAATTTTCAAGAGCAGGCTAGAGAGACTTGGATGGGTGGGATGACCCTGCCTTGAACCAGGGCTGGACTATATGACTTTATGAAGTCCCTTCCAGTCCTTTTCTATGACCCTAAGTTATGATATAACATGGCTGACAGCATGATTTTGCTTGAAGTAAGGAGCTGCAGCACTTACCACTTTAGCAGGCATTAAGAATTTCCATTCATGGGCTTGTAAGATTTTTGGACAGGCCCCCTTTTTCTGATTTAAGCTTTCCCCTGGCCAATTTCCCCTCTAAAGGGGTTCTGAATAGAAGAAATATTTTTAAAAGTTACTTTTCTGTGTGCTTAGTAATATTTGTAGCCAAATCTAGTATAGCTTCTTTCTTTGGCTACCACTTCAAACAATCATGTGAATGACAATAATCCTAACCCTGTTTCAGTCAGGGCAAACTGGACCTGTGAACCACTCCTGTCTCACTTTTGAATCATCTTTCCATTTACTTGAAAATGTTTCCCTGAAACTCTCTCCACCCTGTATCACTTAAATCACTCTTGCTAATCAAACAGGCATGATCCAGACAGAAATCTGAGCTCAGGGTGAGGATGTCCAAATTCACCTTCTGGTTGAAAGAGAGACAAAGGATTTTGTAACAAATATTGCTGTATGACTCTTAATAGGATTCAATTTTAAAATGTCAGCCTACTGTTTGCACTGTTCTGGACCTAGAGAGGACTCCAGTGTCCAGGCTGCAGCTAGACAACCCACATTTGATTAGTGCAATCAAGTAAAACAAGCCTGTTGCTAACATTTTGGAATTGGTGTGTAAGCTCTTGCATTTTATTAAGGGCTGGTTTCCCAGTTAAAATATTAGCACTCCATTATGATACCTGTGCAATGAAACCAAGCACTAGCTAGCACTCCACATGAACTCTTTTAAGTTTGCAAGTCAGCAAGTCAGAAAGGCAGAACCTCATACAGTCTCTATATTGTAACCAGACTCGTGAGGTTATTGCCTCACAATTCAAACTCTGCTTAACTTAGACTCAATTTTTCCATACATTTGCTTTTCCTACACATTCCTCTTCTCAATGTACTGCCTCTGTAATATAGCAATGGGTAAACTTTCAGTCCTATCATATCAGTCATGCCCACTGTTTTCACTTGAGGAGTTGTGAGGTTTGTGGGTGTGGTAGCATATTTTCCTTAGTAAATAAAGTACAGGTGCAACTACCTCACATGTTGTGCCTAACAAAAAAATAAATAAACGCTAAACTTCTGAAGTTCACATATTTCAGTATCTCAGTTACTCATTTTGTAAACAAGCCTCTGCCCACTTTGTAAAAAGAACAACGATAACATTAACACTTTGATATTAGTAAGATTAAAACACCAGAAAGCTAAAAATAAAACAAAAACTCCTCTGTTCTGTTTTCATATCAGGTGTCTCCTCTGTCAATTACAGAGAATAATTTCCTGTGGCTAGTAAAAACTAGAGTTTTGTCAGACTGGACACCAAAGTGCAGCATAAATTAGGGTTACTATAGTTCCAGTTTCAAAGAAGAGGACACCTGTTGAGGGTGGGGGAGCGAGGGGGAAAAAATGATATGCTGGTGCCCTGCCCCTACTGTTGCCCCTCACTCTGAAGCCA